TTCTTTGGAAATGTTTTCATAAAAATACAAAATATAAGTTACAGCGATTTGTTAAAAATACACATTTTTTTGAAGTAACTCCGAAAGGGTAACAGATATCGATGTGCTGTTTTTTCCATCATGTACATCATGTGCAACTCCAAATACCGATGTTAATTTTCGCTATCTCCTATAGAAAAGGGTGTTTCGTTTCAGTGTCCAAATTTGGTCCACCCTGTACAGGGTGGGTCAAATTCGACGCTTTTAAATGGAAACACCCTTTTCTATAGGAGATAGACGAAAACTAATATCGGTGTCTGGAGTTCAATTTTTGTCAAAAACATGATGGTGAAAACCGCATATCGATATCTGTTACCGTTTCGGAGTTACGGGGTGTTTTTCAAAAATATGCATTTTTAACAAATCGCTGTAACTTTTTTACTATGAAAAATTTTGTATTTTTATGAGAACATTTCCCAAGCACCTTTTTACGTAGAATTTAATGGTTTAAGTATAATTTTTTTAAAATTAATAATTTAAGAATTGTCAACAGAAAATTTGATTTTTTATATGGGACACCCTGTATGCTACCTTTCCAAAAACATAACACACTTGATATTTTGCTCGATTCCCCTTCGAGATATAGAGTATATAAAAATTCGCCCGCTTTAAATAAGTAGGGTTTGAACGGCACCGGCTGTGTTGCAAAAAAATTCTAGCTGTGAGCGTCAATTAAAACGAAAATATTATTTGCTATGAGAGATGCAGAATTTTATAACAATTTAAAATATATTTAACCAACATCAACACATTATTTAAACTATATCTAATAACAATAAAAATAAATAGCAAACCAAGACATGAGATTTTGCTACAGGTGTTCGACATATCGACCGTCTTCTGTTATGGACAGACGGGACAGTTTTTGGACATTTCTCGCGAAATTCATTAACTCAGTAGGGGTGAAAGATACCCTCTCATAACTCCTAAGTATTTCTAATTCTTGTCTAGATTATACGGAAGAATAAGGAACCTTTATTCTTCAGCAAATATATCCATAGGATTAGATCCATGGGCACTAAGTCAGGCGGCCTCGACGGCCAACGGCTGGCATCTTGGTTAGCTATTCAACTATTCCTGAAATTGGCTGCAAAATTTTGCTGATAACTTCAGCGTTCAGAGGCGGTGCGTCGTCTTGCTGGAAAAATATGTTTTCGAGTTCCATTAAGGGCATACCATCAATAAGGGGTCCAAAGCCTACTAGTTAAAAGTGGCGAACTTTTAAAAATTCTGTATTTCGAAGGGGATTATAACAAAATATCAAGTGTGCTATATTTTTGGAAAGGTAATTTTAAATTCTTTTCAATTAATTAAAAATATAAAGGATGATAGCTCTTAAATTATTAATTTTAGAAAAATTACACTTAAACCATTAAATTCTACGTAAAAAGGTGCTTTGGAAATGTTTTCATAGAAATACAAAATTTTCCTTAGCAAAAAAGTTACAGCGATTTGTTAAAAATGCACATTTTTGAAAAACACCCCGTAATTCCGAAATGGTAACAGATATTGATGTGCGGTTTTCACCATCATGTTTTTGATGAAAATTGAGCTCCAGACATCGATATTAGTTTTCGTCTATCTCCTACTGAAAAGGGTGTTTCCATTTAAAAGCGTCGAATTTCACCGACCCTGTACATATGTAAAATTAAAAAAGAAACAATTTTCAATTTTCCAATTTTTTCTCGAAATTTGGCCAATAAAATCGTTTTTTAGCCATTTATTTTTTTAAATGTCAAATTTGACAGATACACGAGAGCAACAACGTAAATTTAAACTAAAGCTAAAGCCAAAGTTAAATTTGACTTAAATCCTTAAATAAAATAAAATCTGTATGTAAAATCAATAGTCCTAAACTTATAAGCTAAATTTTATTTTTACAAGACAAAAACAGATCAAAAACTTCTTGTTTTTATCTTGAATGAGATTCGTAGGCGACTAAACCCTGAAAGAATCTTCTCCGCTAAAAATATCCATTTTTTATTATGAAAAATAAAAGAACAAATCCCAGACGATGCTGAAATTCATTTTTTAACATCCAAAGTTCGGGTAGTTTTACCCCTCGGGGTGAAATTTTGGTAGAATTTTGTAAAATATAAATGGAGAAGTCGTGTCTGATAAATATCCAGAACAAACTTTTTGACAAGATGTTTTGAGTCGAAAAATATGGAACACTTTAAAGTATTTGTTGAATGGCGAAAACAAGACGCCAGCATTCAAGATATTGTTTTATATTTCACTTTGGGAAATCAAAAATAAATGCCTTCATTTTGTTATTTACTACACAGTGGAGGCCAAAAAGCTAGGCTAAATAGAGAAAAAAGTATGATATTGAATTATCGGAAACCCTAATAACAAAAGACGTACGCACTAGCTGTAATATTCCAATTATTTATTTTTAAACAGTCATGTATGATCTATCATTTTTACAACTTAATTCTCCCTACAATGATATTACAATAAGAAAGCAGTAAAAAAGAAGTAAAAATATAAAATAGGTATGTTCGTAACCCACACTAGCTTACTCAAATGTTGGGTAAATTTTCTTAGTGCGGTGATCACGACATCACATCGCAAGCCATCGGTATCAGCGTGCTGTTATTTTAATACCTGTTATTTCTTTGCTACTCTTGCGCGAAACTGATAAAATTCGGGCTGCAGCTAGCCAAACCTCCCATCGTCTAGCCGTTGCTGTTGCGCGTTGGACTGTTATAATGAACAACTGTTACTAGCACAGATATAAGAAATTTTGTAGCCAGGTGATCCGAATATGACATAACGAGTGGTCGCAACAGAGCACTGTTGGTTTCATAACTGTTATTTTTAGACAGTAACAAGTGTACGAACTCTGTCATTTATAAATAACAAATTTTAAAGTAACACATATCGTTAAATAACAATACCTTAACAAATGCCTCTTAACAGTACCTGTTGGTACAATTTCGATATATGGCCAGTTGACAACTCAGAGTAAGATCAGTAAGATAATAGAAACAACTCAGAGTAAGATAAGCAAATATAATCTAAATCGGTCCGTGTCAGCGCACTGTTGTAAAGTGACAATTGTTGCCAACTGTTGTGTGCTAAATTTTTTAAATAGTAGTTCTTAAATTACAGATCGTTAAATAAAAATAAGTCTCTAAAATTACCTCTTAACAATACCTGTTATTTTTTGAACCAAAAGTTTTGTGAGCTCGGCAGAGAGTTCAGATCACGATCAATAGCGGTCAGTGCAGTGTTCTTTTATAATTTTTATTTTTAGAAAGTAACGACTGTTGTGAACTGTTATTTAGAGATAACAGTTTTAAAGTAATACGTCTCCAAAAAATTACCTCTTAACAGTAGGTACCTGTTATTTTTTGGAATATCACTTGCGAACTTGGTAGAATTACGTTTTACATCACGACCATTCGTTGTAAGCACACTTTTTTATTTTCATAACAGTTATATTTAGGAAGTACCTAACTATTATTTATTTTGCACATCATTGTTTTGCAACGAAAGAGAAGACATGTGGCTATCTATTTCAAAAATTACATTGTTCAAATGTTATATATAATAATGGCGGGAGCTGTCATGAAATTGAGCGATTAAAAAATTATCATAAATCATTTTTTACAAATGGAAACCCACTTTTTTTTATTTCACTAGTGAAAAGGTTTTTCAATTAGTTACTTTTAAACTATACATGTTCCTATACCTAAAATATATTTTTTTTAAGTTATTTTAAATTTAATTTGAAAACGTATAATTTTTCTTCATTTTATCTAGCTTCCTTTGACATTAAGTATTAATTAAGTTAAACGGTTAGACAATTTATTTCCCTCTGTCAGAAAACGAATTATTTGTATTTCCTATATTATAAATACTGCCTGGTTTAGAGTTTAAAATGTGTATTTATAAAAATATGTCTCGTATTTTCGCTCTTTAGTGATATCTAATAGTTGATATTAATAATATTGCGTATGATAAAAAAACAGCGCAAAATTGGCTCGGCAATAATGCTGCTTTTTGAACAAAGCGTCACAATATGATATGGCCAGATCTATTGTTTTAGATCACTTGACGTTTAGTGTCACAGGCTGGTTGGTTAACTGGTTAAAATCGTTAAAATCAAGAAAAATATACGCTTTAAAACTAAATCTTAAATAACTTAAAAACTATTTATTTTAGGTATAGGAACATGTAGGTATAGTCAAAAAGTAACGAGTTGAAAAGCCATTTCACTAGTGAAATAAAAAAAAATGGGTTTCCATTTGAAAAAAATGATTTATGATAATTTTTAATCGCTCGATTCCATGACAGTTACCGCCATAATTATATGACATCTGAACAATTTAATTTTTGAATTAGATAGCCACATGTTTTCTCTTTATGGCTGTGATAATCACTAAATTTGACGTTTAGGCTATACACATATTTTTGACAGGCAGTTTTTTTCGTCCAAGTTTAAATATTTTTTTTCTCAAAAACGATCAATGTTAGATATAGAGTGTTTAATATCAAAATTCATAAAATTTTACAGAGAATTTAAGCATGAAATAAAAAATGGGGGCACTTATTTAAAATAAGAAAGTTGCTGTCAACTTCCGGTGTTTCCGGAAGTGCCGCCATATTGAAAATATTTTTAATGATAGATCTCGTTGTGAAACTATGATGTGCAAAAAATCTCCGAGTTAGATGTTGTAGTTCCTTAGAAACTTCTAATGCACGCTCAGCCTGGGACACCCTGTATAATAAATAAGTTTTCTAAAATAACAGACCATTAAATAACCATTCATCTCTAAAAATTACCTCTTAACAGTATCTGTCATTTTTGGAACAAATCTTGACGAGCTAGATAGAACTCTTAGAACACTGATATCTTCATAACTGTTATTTTTAGGAAGTGACAACTGTAGCGAACTGTTATTTATAAATAGCAGTTGTAAAATAACATATCATACGTGTCAAAAAGTTACCTCTTAACAGTCTCCTGGCCGGTGAGCCTTGAGCAGATCCGCTGGGCTTGTTGTGCCCCTCATCTTTGTTATTCGAGGATTTGAACAGTCTTCTAAATACCGCAGTCACTTGTCTTTGGGGCGGATGTTCATGTTGTACCTAGTAGTGGCGCTTCTTGTACTTTTCCTAAATCGCTTGGGTGAACCATTAAGTATCAAGCTTTTGTTTTGGTTTTATCTGAAAAAAAGATGAAATAGGTAAGTTAAATAAACTCTAAAAAATGCGTTTTTAGAATTAAAGTCGGTTGTTCACCTTTGTGCATAATTCATCTGCCATCTTATCTCCGATAAATGTTAGATTTGTGCCGATCTGGTTGGCTTTTACATTGTCTCGGTTTTATCACGAATATATGCTAAGGTCGTGACATTAATAAATTATTAATATCGTCGTTATTAGACGCTTGTCATATTCTTTGGAAAATATTTATATTTTCGTCTAGTGAAAAATAACTTTGAACAATGCAAAGATTAGTTGGGCTCATTAACCTACATAGTACGGCGTTTTGTTTTGTTTATTATTTTTATGAGAGAATAAAAGTTTAATTCGTTATAATCAAAAATATAGTGGAAAGTAGCCTAAACCGTACGACTATGTACAAAAATTAAAGAAATACGAAATTTTTCGGGCTGGTTCATCATGTAAGTTCACCATAAAATTCATCATGTTCAATTTTTGAAAAATTAACTTGTACTTCTACCTGTGTTAACCAAGTTTTAACCACTAAGTATGTTGTATCTTTTCTATATTTCATCATCATCATTTTCAGCTTATTCAACCATTTCCGATTATGAGGCAGCCTGTAGCCTTCCTCACTATTAAGACACTCTCTTTGTAGTTGAGCTCATTGTTGTCTATTATTGGCTATGCGGGCCCATGTTATTCCTGCTAATTTCCTAATATCATTGTCCCATCTCATGTTTGGTCTTCTTCTAGGTGTCTTAATTCCTCGTGGGTACCATGCTGTAATTTTTGTGGTCCATCTCTTGTCTGTCTTTCTTGTCAGGTGTCCTGCCCATTGTCACTTTAGAGATTTGATTCTATGGAGGACTATTATTACCTCGGTCTTTTGTCGTATCCACTCTATTCTTTTACGGTCTCTCTTGGTTATTTCCAGCATATTTCGTTCCACTTAGCGTTGTGCGACCCGCAGTTTCCTTATAATGTCCGTTTTAAGTGTCCAGGTTTCGCATGCATCATGCATAGGTCATGACTCGTAGTACACATTGATCGAATGTTCTCTTCTTTAGATAAAGTGGCATTCATATTTGAATATGATTGAGTTTCTTCCACAAGTACTCCATGCTAACTTAATTCTACTGTTGATTTCTGGTAGTAGAAATCCCTAGCTGTGTATTAGTTGTCCCAAATATATATTTTACTCTTCTTCTACTATTTTCAGTGTTGTGTTATTTATTAGAATGTCTTTTCTGTCTACTAGTTCGCTGTACAGGGTGTCCCATTTTGGTTGAAATCATACGGTATCTCCGTTATTTGTAAAGATAGGAGGATGCGGTTTGCACAAACCTGTGCCACTTTTTCGTCAAACGGAAGATGCTGTCAACAACATTTTCATAGCTCTCTTTGTCTCTGAGCTACAGGCTCTTTTCTAAAATTTTACAATTTGGGGCAGTCCCCGTATCTCCGTTATTATGGATGATATCGAGAAGGTGAAAACTGACTCTTGTAGAACTTTTTATGTAGAATACAGTGGCGTACTCTGTTTTTCTACAAAAAAATATTTTTAAATATGAACTAAAGTTACGTTCTTTCAAAAATTTTCAATTTTCAAAAAACACCCTCTATATTTATAAATGATATGATCCGCCTTGCTATGAGCTTTTCAAAAATATACAGGGTGTTTCAAATCAAATGCGAAAAACTTCAGGGGCTGATTCCTTGTTCAAAATAAAGGGTAGTTTGCTTCATAAACGTTGGGTCAAAAGTCAACCATTACGGAGATATCGCGGTACAAAGATGGCGGAAAAATAATGTTTTTTATTTTTTATCTTGAAAACGAAAAGGGATAGACTAATGAAATTTTATGGAAGCATTACTGTTATGAAAACACACTTTAACGTAATTTTTTCACTTTTTTAAAATGAGTGGAAGGGGTTGAAATAAACTACCCTTATCATTCTTGTTAAAATTTAAAGATTTAAAGAAAAATCTTATCAAACACATGCAAAAAAAAAATTGGATATTTGTTTAGACACTTTTTTATCTCTTGTGTTTTCTTAGTAAAATTCACCGATTTGAAATTAAAAAATAAAATGTAAAGCATTACATGTCAGGACAAAAAACATTTTTTGATAAAGAATCTAGTAGGCTGCTGTCAAACAGTTTTATTTCGTAATAATATCGTTACATTTTCTTCTGAACGATAACCTCTTAAAAATTATTTACCAAGACAATTTTTAATTCTGTATTTTAATTCATGAAAGTACAAAATAATAAAAAAAAGTACATATTAAAAAATAAAAATGTTTTTTGTCCTGACATGGGGTAATGCTTTACATTTTATTTTTTAATTTCAAATCGGTGAGTTTATCAAAAAAACACAAGAGATAAAAAAGTTTCTAAACAAACTAAACTATACAAATTAATTTTTTTGCATGTGTTTGATAAGATTTTTCTTTAAATTTCGTTAACAAGTATAATAGGAGTAGTTTATTTCAACCCCTTCCACTCATTTTAAAAAAGTGAGAAAATTACCAGAAAGTGTGTTTTCATAACAGTAATTGCTTCCATAAAATTTCATTAGTCTGTCTCTTTTCGTTTTCAAGATAAAAAATTAAAACATTATTTTTCTGCCATCTTTGTACCGCGACTTTTGACCCAACGTTTATGAAGCAAACTACCCTTTATTTTGAACAAGGAATCACCCCCTGAAGTTTTTCGCATTTGTTTTGAAACACCCTGTATATTGCTCTATATTTATTTTCACTATTTACGGCAATATTTAATTTTATCATTTTTTATTTATTTTTATCATTTTCTTATTAGTAGGCCGTGATAAATAACAAAAAATCAAAATGGTATTTACTAAAATAGTCATACACTTATTAAAATTTTGTTTGGAATTGATATATTTTACTTTTGAACTGTTATTACCAATCAATTTTTGAATATATTTTTTTTCATAACGGAATTTATTATAACAGGATGGGTTTGCAAATATATAAAAGCTTGCATTATTGAAGCATTTTCCAGGTGCTCCACATTGTGTTAGTTGCCTCGATATATTTCACATTTCAAACATTTCCAAAATCAGAAATCGAAAAAGGACAAATCCATGACTCAGGGAGGGTGTCGTATGGGTCCTTTGGTTCCAATTCATTGATTGGAGAAATAATAATTTAACAAAATTCGAATATTGTTATTGTCGTTATAAGTTAAGTTGTGAGGGGAGCGCCATCTTGCTGAAAGTTTATTTCAAGTAAATTAGCTAAAGGAATATTTAAAAATTCCGATACGATAGCTTCCAAGATTTACAAATAGCGGGAGAGAGTTAAGTTTCCCTAATATATAAAGAATTTATTAGTGGCTCTCAAAATAAAACAAGAGACAGATAGCAGTATATACTTTTAATAATTCATTAGTTTCTTTATTATCAATCATGGTCTACTAATAAAATATGATCTTTTAATATATTTTTTTAAATATTGCAGATAATAGTAAAAATAAATATAGAGTGATATATATTTTTGAGAAGCTTAGGGCAAGCCAGATCATATAATTTATAAATATACAGGGTGTTCCATTTAAGAAAACATAACTATAGTTCATATCTTTAAAAATATTCTTTTCGTAGAATAACAAACTACGTCACTGTATTCTACGTAAAAAGTTCTACAATAAACAGTTTTCACTTTCTCGATACCTTTAACAATAACAGAGATACCGGGGGTGTCACAAATTGCAAAATTTTCAAAAAGACCCTGTAGCTCAGAAACGAAGAGAGCTATGAAAATTTTGTTTACCGCATCTTTCGTTTGACAAAAAAGTCGTACAGGTTTGTGCAAACCGCATCCTTCTATCTTCAGGAATAACAGAGATACCGTATGATTTCAACCTAAAAACTAAACTCTAAACTCTAAACAAAATAGGACACCCACCCTGTACAGGGTGAGTCAACGATAGAGTAAAGTTCATTATCTCATTTATATCAAGGTTTACAAAAAATTATTTAATATAAAAGTTATAGGGATGGTTAAGGTACATATTTCAAAAATTATTATAGAGTATTCAGGGTGCTTCAAAAAAGTGTGGCGGCTATAACATATGTTTTTTTATGCAACACCCTATTTTTTATTTTATTTTTAGATTCTGCGTAAAATTCCATAACTTTTTTATATATAATGTTATATACCTAAAATTAATAGTTTTTGTTATATTTAAATTTGTTGAAAGAAATGTTAGATTGCAGTGTGGTAAAAAATTGTCAATGGTGCCATTGTTTCTGAAGTTGGAGTACCAAAATTTGGTAGGAGAGTTTTATAGAGATGAAAAAAAAAGATATATGTAAAGATATTTTAGTTAAATGAGACATGGTGTTCAAAATATATTTATAAATTTCAAATAATTAAAATTAAAAAATCTCAAATTTTTTAAATAGGACAACCTATATATTATCATTTTTTCTGATAGATTTGACAAAACTCTTCAACTTGTATTAAGTATGTCATATCCCTATTTTTAATAGTTTGCGATTTATTCCCATTTTTTCTATTTTTACCCATATTTTCAATACAATTACCCTATAAAATCATAGTTGCCATGACAAAACAAAACAATTTGTTACTTACCTTTAACAAGTAGCTTTATAATTAGTTACAATTGCTGGTATTAGTTAAAATTAATTATTTTTACTCAAATGAACTAAATCGCAGTAGTGAATTTCGAAGATGACACTTGGGATTTTTCGTCGGGGCGAATAGCCACAGATTAGGGTAATACTAAATTACCTAATTGCTGAAGACTACTGATATATGAATTTTCTTCGACATACAGTAAAGTTTTTTCTCGTAGTAATTCTGGTTTATAATTCATTTGGTAAAGCCATTATTACTACTGCCGCGAAACCGTCCCATTACACACTTGAAGATGTTTTCTAGATAATATACATCTATCCTTATAGTAGTTAGCAAAGTACTATATAATATATAGTACTGAACCAAAAAATGTGGTTTTCTAAGCTTGTATATCAATCACATTGACTAATTCATTTCAAGAAAATCTGTAACTATTATCTCTACCATTTATACTTATTACAACAAA